TGTAATTTAAATATAAGGTTTAAATGAACCTTCTGATAGAAAGTTAAAAAACTTTTAATTTAGACCGTAAAAAGTTGACGTTGCCTTCAGAGTTTTCCAGTGAAGCCGTTTTTTCATCTTTTTCACCAACAGAGCTGCGTCTCCCGCCTTCATCCGCCATTTTACAACGTTTCTAATTTTTCTGGACTTATGATAAAAATAATAACCAATAATAAAACCTATTTTCGGTTTTCGCTAAATTATTTTGAGTATGAAATTAGATAATAAAAACGTTTGTTTGAAATAAATTACGCAGATTAGTTTCTAAACCGTACCTCGAATGTACACTTAACTTGTCAGTTATCGAAGTCCGTTTTCTTGTCGCCAGGCAACGGGGTGACCAAGAAATATTACAATGCATTCTGGGTAATGTAGTTAGTTATTATTATTATTTTAATATAACCCTATAGTTTTAACTGAAAAATTAAACGTGATTTTTATTTTTGTTTTAGTTAATCAAAACTCAATTTAGCTGTAAACCTCATCCATAAACCCTTTCATTACTGTTTTACTTTTTAACATGAGAAAGTTAATTAATAAAATAAAATTAACTTTCACGTTAGCTCGCTTTTAGCATCAGCTAGCAAACTAGGGCTAGCGTTAATTACTGTAATTTAAATATAAGGTTTAAATGAACCTTCTGATAGAAAGTTAAAAAACTTTTAATTTAGACCGTAAAAAGTTGACGTTGCCTTCAGAGTTTTCCAGTGAAGCCGATTTTTCATCTTTTTCACCAACAGAGCTGCGTCTCCCGCCTTCATCCGCCATTTTACAACGTTTCTAATTTTTCTGGACTAATGATAAAAATAATAACCAAGAATAAAACCTATTTTCGGTTTTCGCTAGTTTTTGTTAAATTATTTTGAGTATGAAATTAGATAATAAAAACGTTTGTTTGAAATAAATTACACAAAATTCTTCTTCCTCTTCTTCTTCTCAACGTAAACTTGATCCAGATGAAGTGACTGAAAGGCTTGGTTGGTAAACTTAACGGTACTTTGACTTGTTGCTAGGCAACGGGGCAACACGAAATATTAAAAAGCAGAAAAGCATTCTGGGTAATGTTCTTTGTCTGCAACTACAATCCCGATTTAAAAAAAAATATTATCATTATTATTATTATTATTATTATTATTATTCGCTGCGGCGACCCGTAAGGCAGGGAGCAGCCGAAAGAAGAAAAAATTATTATTGTTATTATTATTATTATTATTGCTGTATGCTTCCGTATACATGTGAACTAAATTTCTCATGAATAATAAATCAAAAACAAACCAAGTTTAGATGGGCACTTAAAAATAACTTTTTTTTGCTGTAACCATGGTAACGAAGTTGGCCTAATTAAATGTTATCTCTAAACAAAACGATAGCAACTATTCTTTTAGCTACTAGTAATAGCAGAGTCATTGTTGTCCAAATTATTTATTTACACTGTTTCTAATGTTTTAAAATATTAAGAGACATAATTTTTAAACATGCGTTTTGCGACATCGAACGTTGCTTTACGGCTTGATGCAGTAAACTGTGCCCGGACGTATGAGACTGCACGTGTGATCGTTCGGCTAAAATGTGAGTTAATTCTGTCAAAATCTCCATCGTTTAGTTGTTTTATGCTGTTTTGATTAATAAAATATTGAAAGTCATAGCATTTTTTTTACCTAAACGAGTGATAAAAACCAAACTGGTTTCATAACAAAATGTTTGAACTCAAAAGCCTTGATTCTCTGAATAGATTCGCGTATTTAAAAATTGAACTGATTTATAGAAATTAAATTACGGTAAAAACTTTATTTTTAGTTAAATTTTAAAGGAAGGTTGTCTGAAGTTGGAATGTTTTAGAAATGTAAAAAGAAACATACCAAATAAACCATTCAGGTCTTCATTTGTTTACTTGTTTCAGACAGCAGGAACCATGATTTCCTCGTAATAATTTTAGTTGTTATGAAGTTAACTTGGAATTTAGGAAGAGGAAAAGGAGTTTCAAGTATGAAATGCAGGAATAAATGTATTTTAAATCAAATAGTTAAATAAACATCAACTATAAGCAAATAATGCTGTAAGAACAAAAAAACTGTAGTATAAGTTTTTATAACTGCTTATTGTTGTTGTTGTTGTCCATTGTTGTCATCTTTCTTTGTTGAAATCAGGTCTCTCTTGTAAATGAGTCCTCGAGGCTCAATGGGATTTACCTGTAGAAATAAAGGTTGATTGAATGCTGTAAGAACAATTTGGGCGTTTTTCATACTTTTATCGTCTTCCAATTGTTGGTTGTAAATCTATTTTAAGTTTCTTTATAGATGGTGTTGGTGGTTTATTCGTGAACTCTGCTCATCCACTCAAACTGGACCGGTAATTATAAATTTTTGGTTTTAAACCTGAGATTTTCCTCACAGCATCTCTCCAGTCCAAACAGACATCAAGATGGACGCCAAACCAAAGAAAAAGTTCTCTCCTAAAGGCGGGAAGAAGCTCACCCAGAAAGGAAAAGGTGAGCGGGCCAGCGTCGCCCTCAGAACCTGATTTAACGGCTTTAATAACCAACGGGTCGCACTTCTTTCAGACTCCACGGGGACAAAGCTTGGAGGAAAACCAGGCGGGAGAAAACCCTTCAAACCGTTCAAAAACTCTGAGAAGAGACCAGGAAAGACCGGCGTTGGAGGCAGGAAAGACCTGAAGCCCGGTGTTTCTAAAGGAGCCAAGAGGAAACTGTCCGAGGAAGGTGGAGGTGAGAAAACGACCGTTTGCACGTTCGTCTTTCTGTTGGGTCGTGGCGTTTCAGTAGTTTTCTGTCCACAATCAGGTCCAGAGGCAAAGAAGAAGAGGAGGTTTAAAGCCGAGAAGAAGCCGACAAAAGAGGAGCTGAAGAAGAACCGACAGCAGAAGAAGGCGGCGCTGAAGAAGAGCCGACAGCTGGCGGAGAGGAAGGACATGTTTGACATTATTTCTCGTTCCAAACAAGTGTGGGGAGACCTGAGGAGGTAAAGACTCGTCTCGGAGGACGAGACGCATTTATGTTGAACACAACAGAAACTAAAATGTTCCTCTGAAAATGTTCGGCTACGAGGACTGAAGCTGTAAGAAAAAGCAGCTAAAGTCCCAAAAAGGAAAATGTTTTGTTGTTCAAAATAAAAGCACATATTTTTATGTTTAAATGTAGAGGAAGAGTTTTTGTTCACCTGAGGAGACCGACCCAGCAGGTTCTGCTGCGGACGGACCGACCCAGCAGGTTCTGCTGCGGACGGACCGACCCAGTAGGTTCTGCTGCGGACGGACCGACCCAGCAGCAGGTTCTGCTGCGGACGGACCGACCCAGCAGGTTCTGCTGCGGACGGACCGACCCAGTAGGTTCTGCTGCGGACGGACCGACCCAGCAGCCGGTTCTGCTGCGGACGGACTGACAGTGTTTGTTTCTGCAGGAAGAAATGTGACGAGGAGCTGAAGAAGAAACTGATGAAGGAGCTTCACGATCTGATCCGGGGAAAGAGCAAACAGGTGTTCTGGTGCTGTTCTGAACGGTTGAACCCACGCAGTAAATGTTGATGCTTTGGCCCAGTTCTGTCTCTATTCTGACCCGAATGGATCTCTCCCGCCCGCAGATGGCGTTTGCTCACGACTCGGTCCGGGTTCTGCAGTGCTTCATCCAGTTTGGCAGCCACCAGCAGAGACAGGAAGTGTTTGAGGAGCTGAAAGGTGGGCGCCGTGTTTTTAAAACGTTGAACTTCCTGTTTGGGTTGGCGGGACGGGTCACCTGTAGCTTTTGTCCCCCGCAGACAGTGTCCTCGCTCTGTGCAAGTCTCAGTACGGCCGACACGTCGTGAAGAAGCTGCTCATGTACGGGTAAGTGTGACCCGACCCATGCGGTTCTGACAGCTGACGCGGCAGCCGGACCCTCACGCCTGTGTGTTGGTCCCGCTCAGGAACAAGGAGCTGGTGGCGGCGCTGATCCACTCCTTCAAAGGAAACGTCCGGCAGATGCTTCGCCACGCCGCCGCCTCAGCCATCATCGAGTTCGCCTACAACGACAAAGCCGTCCTCGCCCAGAGGCTGGAGCTGAGCCACGAGCTGTACGGGAACACGTACGCCGTCTGCAGGGTGAGCACGTGCGCACACACGCGCCGCCCTGGTCCATTCAGAAGATGCTCCGAGACTGGGGGGGGGGGGGTGTCGGAGCACGGCCTAACTATGTGCTGCCGAACTAAGTAGAAGCCAGACCGGACTGATTTACCTTTATTTATCAACCTTTATTTATTTACCTTTATTTATTTACCTTTATTTATTTACCTTTATTTATTTACCTTTATTTATTAACCTTTATTTAACCAGGTTAGTCCCACTGAGATCAGATCTCTTCCAAGGGAGGCCTGAGGGCAGACTAACATACATGCTCTTGGTCTGTGGGAGGAAACCGGAGAAAACCCACACAAGCTCAGATGCCAGTTCTCAGTTTAACTGAGGGTCAAATGCAAATGTTACTGCTGAATGTGACATGGAAGAGTTGGCAGTTGAAATACAACTGACTGTCATGTAAGAAGAATCAAACAAAGTTAAGTCAGGTCCTCTGGACAGATTCTTGTTGGAAGAATGTTGGTCCAGTTGTGTGTTCCTGAGTTTGTGTGTGAGCGTGTGAATGTTCAGCTCTAACTCCGGCTGTTTGTGGAAAGAAGCTTTTGCCAAGTGAACTCCAAGATATTTGGTGCTGTTGACGTCCTCCACAGTGAAGCCACTGATATTTGATGGAGAGTGATAAGATTGTGACCTTGTTCTTTTGAAGTCAACAACCATCTCTGGTTTTGTCCACGTTCAGAGACCGGTTGTTGACTCTACACCAGTCCGTTAGCTGTTACACCTCTTCTCTGTACGCTGACTTGTTCTTGCTGATGAGACCCACCTCAGATGTGTCGTCAGCAAACGTGATGTGATTTGAGCTGTGCATTGCTGCACAGTCATGAGTCAGCAGAATGAACTGCAGTGGACCGAGCCCACAACCCTGAGGTGCTCCATTGCTCAGTGTGATGGTGCTGGATGCGTTTCTTTCAATTCGAACTGACTGGGGTCTCCCAAGTTCAGGATGCAATAGCAGAGGGAGGTGTTCAGGCCCAGTTGGGTCAAATGTGGGTTCTCGTTGGGTGAGTGCCAGACAGAGTCGTCTGTCTGGGGGTCCAGTGAGGGGGGGCAGCAAGGTCTTCATGTGCTTCTTGATGGTGGACGTGATGCGCCACAGTCAAAGAGGCCGAACATTGACAACCTCTTTGTGACGGGGACAATGGTGGTCTCAAAGCTTGTTGGGACGGTGGCGGTGCTCAGAGGCGTTCACTGTCCGTGGAGACTTCCACGTTCTGCACCTCAAGCCAGGCGCTAAAGTCGTTCATTGTGTCTGTGGCTGTAACTCAGTCAGTTCTATTTCATCCCTACTGACCGCCAGAGGGCTGTGCTGAAAGCACTGAATGTTCCCTTTGCGCATGCGTTGATTCGAGTAATAATACCAACGGAGTCACAGGTGTGACACGGATGACCAATCAGAGGCTATATAGCCCGACGTCATCCGCTGCTCTGCTCCTATTTTCTTCTCGCGTGCGGTTCAATTCAGGGCTTCAGCCCTTTGGACCTTTTCTGAACTTTTTACCGTCGTCGGAAGCCCGACTGCCTGTCTACGGGAGTAGCGTGTTCGCCCTCCTAGGGCTGCGACGGTTTAACCCTGTTCAAAGGTATTTCTCTGTTTCGTTGGGAACTACGGCGGTTTCCGCCTCTCCCAAATTACAGCGTCTGACTACTATGTGTGTGATTCAACACCGGTGAGTAGTTTTCCTTATATTTCGCCGTTGGTTAGCGGTAGCGTTCGCTCCGCTCACGCTTGTTGGGAGACCTCCAACCGCGTGGTCGGCTGGACTGTGCTCCGACGTTGTTTATGACTACTATGTGTGTGATGTAACACTGGTGAGTAGTGGTTCTTTGCTTATATTTTGCTATTGGTTAGCGGTATCGTTCGCTCCGCTCCTGTTTACTGGAGGCCTCCAACCGCGTGGTCGGTTGGACCGTGCTCCGAAGTTTGTTTATTACGTAGCCAGCTGAGTTCCTGGCCTTGTTTTATTTGGTGAAGGCGAGCGTTCTCACCCCCTCTCCCAATTGTCCTCTTACCAGCTGAGCTAGCGGTGCTAGCCTCTCTGAGTTTTCACTTTGTTTTAATTGAAGGCGAGTGTTCTCACCCCCTCTCCCAATTGTCCTCTCTTACCAGCTGAACTAGTGGTGCTAGCCTCTCTGAGTTTTCACTTTGTTTTAATTGAAGGCGAGTGTTCTCACCCCCTCTCCCAATTGTCCTCTCTTACCA